CCGGCCAATCCTCAGGTCTTGGCAGCCTTTTCTTATCTACGAGCCGAACTCGTGGAGTCGCAGCGAGCGGTGACTCGTTCCTCTTTTCTTTTAGATTCCTACCAATGCGCTTCGTTCGCCCGGCTCGCTTCTTCGAATGGACAAAGCCCTCTTCCAGCTTAGCCAGCCTCATTGCGCTATTGAGTGAGAGTGATGTTGCATTGGAAGGATCCGGAGCGGTCAGGGGTTTCCGGGGGATCCGGGGCGAGAGGGAGTGAGCGGGGATGAGGTGCGTCAACATAAGCGGGATGGTTATCTCGTAGCCGTACGCGAGTGTCGACGCATCTGCATCTGGGCCTTCTTCATGCGCACCGAACAAAAATGTCCGCGTTGGATGATAAGCTCGCGCGCATCAGCCAATCACAGCGCTGCATTCTTATCACCCTTGAAACCCCCCCTTGACCCTCTGCCGCCAATTTGTCCCGGCTTTGGTCATGCTAGCCATGTCCGTCAAGGACCGCCGACACCCCGCACTTACCGACTCTCGCGGTCTTGGCGTCTCCCCACTCCAAACCGCAGAAAGGCCTTGATGCACGCTCGTTGCAACGTGAGATTGTGCAGCTGAAGTGGGTGCGAAAGGGTGTAGAGCGGAGGAGGAGAGCTGGGCGAGTGCGCTTTTATCGTACGAGAGGGAGCAAACCGCCGGCCCAGATAAGCGACCGCCAAGCCGTCACTTTTTTGATTTCTCGCCAGACCAACACCCCGCAAGCTCCCCCCAGCCGTACAAGCAGCTCAGCCATCCTAAGGATGCGAGAGATCCAGGCGTACGAGAAGTGCACAAGGGCGATGCTCATGTAGACGCAGGATACGTCGGGGAAAAGGGAAGCAACGACATACTTGCGCCCCCAACGTTGCAGATTCATGCATGTGGCAAAACTGACATCATCCATAGAAGAGCAGCATGCTCAAAGTATAGTTTGAGATCCGGAGACAAGATGTTTCGGCAAGGGCAAGTGGGGAATATGTCTACGCAAAGTCTCCGAAACGTCCAGCATGACCAAGGGGCATGAACGTGCACAAGCCCCACCTGGGTTGCACGGCGGAGAAGCGGCTGTGGAGCGGCTTATCGAGTGCCGATGCCGGGACGCCACGCTGGCTGATAGGAGAATTACCATCCGGCCCGCATGACGCTTCCCCCATCGCTCTGTTCCGGCCTCATCAGCGCGGGGTAGGACAGATAAGCCTGCGTTTCCATTTACCGCCTGCTCGGCCTGAGACAATAGCATGTGGCTGTCCATCTGTCCATCTGCGCGCTCGTCGGTTTGTGGGATCCCACTGTCTATCGACGCGCTTTTCTGGGGGACGCCGATTTGTTGCCGTTCCGACCAGCTGGTTTGGCCGCCAAGCGTTGTCTCGCAGCATGCACCTCATCCGCCACGCGCAATGCGCGCTCGAGCCTCTCCCGTAGCTCACCGAGCATGGCCTCTGCCTTGGCGAGGCTGCCCACGTGATGCGTGGGGACCGCCTCGCGCGCCGCCTTTTGCTGCTTGACCGCACGCTCGTCGCCGCTCTGCGAGATGAACTCGTCCTGCATCAGCTCCAGATCATCGGCTAGCGACTGGCACACCAGCTCGATCCCCTCGAGCACCTTTCGCGGAGGCACCACATCCACCAACGCTTCCACTTGGGCTGGTGACAGTATTTGCTCCCGGTCCTCGTCGGCGTCGTCGCGGTCCACGCCCGACAGCCGCCGGTTCCAGCCCGAGGCGACGTACCAGCTAAGCCGCTTGAGATGCGGGAAGCGGAACTTCTTGGGCACCTTGGTTGCGTTTTCGATTCCTACAAGTTTCCACTGGGTGGCGACGTTCCAGTCGGTGAGAAAGTTGCCGCCGACGACGAGCGTGTTCTGGGGCGTGTAGACGCAGTGAAGCCATCCGGAAGGGATGAGCATGGTCTCGCCCGGCCGAATGTCGACGCGCACAAGGCCGTGCAGATGGTCACCGAGCCAGTCAAAGTCCTGCCGCGTGCTGCTGCACCACGCCTTGTACGCCGCCAGATTGCGCGGCGTAGGCGGCGCAAACAGAAACGTCTTTTGACCCCAGATGACGTGGTAGTAGACGCTGCTGCCGGCAAAGTCAATGTGCCAGTCCGAATAGGCACCCTCGACACCCATGAGCACGTAGCGCTGAACTTTGGGCCAGCTGTTGTCCGCACACGTCGCATCGCGTCGCTCGCTCGGCCAGTCGCGCGTCACCCAGTCCAAGTCGCGCACGAACTGCGGCGCCTCGACGTACGCCTGCAAAGGTGTTCCCGTCACTTCGAGCGAGATGACGTTGAGCGTCTTCTTCTTCTTGTGCTTGGGCATCGTAAAGTACTCGGCCCACTCCGAGATGGTCCACGACGCTTTGCTCGACGACTGCGACGCAACGTCGATCACCTCGACCGGCGTGTCGTGCCCGATCAGATCCGCAATGTCGCCAATCGTCATTTCCGCAGGCGGCACCACCATGCCGGGAATCGAAGTGGGCCTGGGCACCAGCCGTGCGCCGCGCTTCTTCTTTCTCTTTGCATCGTCGTCCTCGCGCTTGACCGGCGTGGAGGCGTATGTTTCGGATGCTGGAACGAGCACCGGTTGTCGCAGCGCATGCTCGTCATGCAAGAGCCAGTCGAGCGTCCAATCGTCACCCTGCATGCGCGGGAAGCGGTCGGGCTCAAAGTCGTAGGTGTCGAGAAAGTTGCGCCACCTGCCCAGCGGGTCAGCAGGGATCCCCTCCTGGATGGCAGCATAGTCGACCTCGAGCTTGGCGCGATGCGACTTGCGGCGCGGTGGGCGTGCGACGTTGGCGAGCGGTGGGCGCGAGGTGCTGGTGCCCGAATCGAACGCCTCTTGGGATCGAGCGATGCACGGCCGGCAGTACCACTTGCTGTAGTCGTCCGGATTCTCGAGGCCGATGCAGATGCAGTGGAACCACGTCTTGCACTGTGTGCAGCAGATCCACGTCTCGCGGTCCGAGGCAGCGGCCTTGCCCGGCGTGGGTGCAGGCTCCCCTGGCGCCGGGCACGCCGCACAGTCGAGCTCGGACTCGTCTACGGGCTGAGCACGCGGCTTCTTCTGCTTGGGCTGTGCCGGTGTGCTTGTACTGGCTGATGTGGTTGTGGTGGTTGGAGACTGGGCCCTCTTGCGCGGACTCGTGCGGAGCGAACGAGGCGCCACCTCGCCATCGAGCGGCGGAGGCGTCGCTGCGATTGTCATGGTGTACCCGCCTCTCTGCCAAGAGATTGAGCAGTCTGTGCAGGCAGGCGGTGGGGTCGTCGAAGCTGACGAGGCGTGTCGAGATGATGGATGAAGGGCTAGAAGAAGCAGCCCCTGCAGGGCCATGCGGGACACTTTTTCAGTGTGGCACTCGACTCGACTCGCGCGCTTCGGAAGCCGGGTGTCACGAGACCTCGATGCCTCCAGCCCACAGCGCCACGGAAGATCGCCGCTGCTCTGCCTCAAACAGCAGCAGGCAAGTCAGTCGAAATCGCCGGAACATGGCGCAGCAGAACCCTGCATTTCCCCTCCCTCCGCTGCGCCGAAAAAGAGAAAAAAAGGCAAAAAAAAAAGGCGAGATGTGAGCAATGTTAGCCCGCTTCAGCGAACAAATGTTTGAAATAAAGCACATTTTTCACACCTAGCGTCTGGAACCGGTGACGTTGTGGCGTCCTTTTGGCTTTTTGGGCTTCCAAAAGAAGCGTGACTCTGGGCGCTGAGTCGCGGGCGGTGAAGACGCGCGGACCACGCTCCGAATCCAGCTGGGAGGCAAGGAACAACACTCGAAGCAAGAGCTGAGCTTGGGCCGCCTCGAAACGCCAAAGTCACCACCCTCGACGGGCACCAGCTTGGCTCTGCACCTCCATCTCCTGCCATCCACCACTTCAACCATGGCAGCGCGCAACGCAGACAAGCCCAGGGCAAGCGGGCGCGCGTCCATCCCCACGCCGCCCGTCAAGTTTGCCCTCGATGACCGCTATTCGCAAGGAAAGCACGCCGTCGTCACCAAGCCCAAGCCCAAGCGCTCCGGTGGCTTCTCCGGCTGGCTCTTCTGGTTCGGCACTCGCGTCACCGTCTTCTACCTCATCTATGCCGCGCTCTGGACCTGCCCTTCGCGCCCGTTTGCATTCGACTACTCGGCCAAGGATCCACGACCCGTCTGCCGCAACTTGGCGCAGGCTCATGATCAACTGACTCCCATCGTCAAGCCGTACTGGAACCTCGCCCAGCAAAAGGTGCAGCCGTACACTGACCCCGTCGTGCGCGCCGTCGCTCCCTGGGCCACGCGCCTCCACAAGGTCTCCCGCCCCGTCTATCGCGAGGCCAACAAGCGCGGCCGCCTCATCTGGAAGAAGCGCATCGACCCCGCGCGTCGACGCGCCCTCAAGGACATCAACAAGCGCATCGACCCCTACGTCAAGCAGGCACACAGCTACCACAAGAAGAACGTCCAGCCGCGCATCGACACCGTCCACAAGGCCGTCAAGCCGTACCACGACATCTACAAGCGCGACGTCTCGCCGTACGTCGACCGCGCATACCAGTACAGCCTGCACTCGTCGTCCGTCTCGTACGCCTTCTACATGGACAAGGTGCACCCTCGTGCGGTCAAGGGCCTCAAGCAGATCTACAGCTTCCTCGTCAACCACGTCGACCCCGCCGTGCGCAGATTCTACAGCCTCTATGTGCGCCCGCAGCTCGAGCGCCTGCTCGCCAAGGTCTACGAGCGCAAGGCGCACTACCTCGGCTCCGACGCCATCAAGACCGCGCAGAAGGACATGAAGCACGCCGCGCACGAGGCGGACAAGCATGCCAAGCAGGCCGTCCGCGAGGCTGAGCAGCAGGCCATCAAGGCGCAGAACGACCCTTCGCTGCTCGACCGCGCCAAGCAGGCCAAGGACGCCGTCGTGGGCGGTAATACTCATGGCGAGACCGATCCCGTCAAAGTCGCCCAGCTCGACGCCGAGCTCGATGCCGAGGAGGACAAGGTCAAGGAGCTGCTCGAGGTGTGGGAGACGCGCATGTCCGAGCTCATCGAAAAGGAGTACAAGCTCGCCGTCGACCGCATCGCCGACCTGCGCAACCGACGCCTTGCCGACCTGCCCGACCGCTTTGGCCTGGTCAACGAGGCCTTCGTCGAGGACACCGTCGCGCTCCTCCTCAACCGTGTCGAACGCGGTGCGCGCAAGATCTCCAACGGCTCCGGCGACGTGACCAGCAAGGTCGAGGCGGGCAACAGGCTCGTGGACCAGCAGCTCACGCGCTTCGACGAGGCGGCGCAGGAGACCAAGTCGCAGATCGCCGCGTTCTACGAGGAGCTGCTGCAGCAGGAGACGCAGGCCATCGACACGAGCAGTGCCGAGGTGCGTCGCTTCGCCGGCGCGGCCAAGGAGGCGTACGACGAGATCATGCGCGACGCCAAGTTCGCGGTCACCATGGACGAGTGGCAGGGCTGGGACGTGGGTGTGCGCAAGCGCGCCACGCTCTTCACCGAGGAGCTTGCTGCGGTGCAGCGCGGCACGAAGCGGGTCAGCACCGCCTCGGGCGCGGTGGATCTGAGCAACGAGGCGCCCGACGTGCAGAAGGAGATCAACGCGCTCCGTGCGTGGACGGATAAGCTGCACGGTGCGGCGCGCAGGGAGCTGGTGGCGTACGGCGACTCGGCACTGGCGCAGCTCGCGGGCGGCGGGGTGGTGGCCAAGATCTCGGACGTCACCGACAGGCTGGCGGAGCAGGCGAGTCGCATCAGCACCGACGCGGCCGCTGGCATGGTCGGTGCCGTTGGCGCAGCGCGCGCCAGGTTGGGGCTGGGGGAGCCCGCAGCGGACGGGTACGTGGCGCGCGCCAAGGCGTACGTCGCCGCGGGCACGGGCTCGGGGTCGTCGTTCGACGACTATGTTAGCAGCCTCAGTGCGGGCGCGGGCGCGGTGGCTAGCTCGGCATCGTCGCTCGCGGGCCAGGCGAGCAGCAGCGTGGCTTCTGCCGTCGACACGTCGTCCGCGGCGTCGGCGTACGAGGCCGCTTCGTCTGCGGTCGCAGGTGCCGCGAGCGCTGTAGCCTCCAACGCGCAGGCTGTGGCTTCGTCGGCATCGGGCGCGGTGGGCGGCGCGGTATCGCAGGCCTCGGTGGCAGCGAGCCGAGCCAGTCGCAGTGCAGCTTCGGCGGTGGGTGCTTCTCCCACGCCCGAGTCGGTCGCGGACTACATCGATGCCGTCACAGCCGGTGTGGGCGCAGCCGTTGACAGTGCGGTGAGTGGTGTGGCGGCGGTCTCGTCGGGTGCGTCGTCGCTTGCATCCCAAGCGAGCCGCAGTGTTGCCTCGGCCGCCGGTGCAACGCCCGAGTCGGTGGCGGACTACGTCGAGGCTGCGCGCGATCACGTCGTTGCGGCGGGCGGAAAGGCGGCCGAGGCAGCGCAAGGCGGTGTGTCGAGTGCAGGCGTGGTGTATGCGTCGGGATCGTCGCTCGCTTCCGCCGCGTCTCGATCGGCTGCATCGGCGGTGGGTGCATCCCCCTCGCCGGAAACGCTGCAGGACCGTATTGACGACGCGCGCGATGGCGTGAACAGCGTTGTTGACGCCGTCACCTCGAGTGCAGGCGTGGTGTATGCCTCGGCTTCGTCGCTCGCCAGCGCAGCTAGCCGTAGCGCCGCATCCGCCGTCGGCGCATCGCCTACACCGGAAACCCTCGCCGACTATGTCGACGACGCCACCGATGCCGCCGACAAGATCGCTCAAAAGGCTCAGGGCGCTGTCAGCAAGGCCGCGGCTCAGCTTCATGTTGAGCTGTAAGCCGAAAATTTTCGCACAACAATGGAAGGTTCGAAAGCATGTTTAGGTTGCGCAGTGTGGGAAAAGGTGAGTTTAGGTGAGGGAAGGTTGGATGGTGGGTTGAGGTTGGGGTTGCGGCTGTTGCTGTTGTTGTTGGTGGTCGAGCATGTGTCGGAGGACGGTGACTGATCCAGTTTCAAGAGGCTGTTGGGGCGTCGTTTCTTGGTCACGGTACGCTTTGAGCAAATCCGTATTGCGCAGCAAGGCTTTGCGTTTGAGAGCTTTGATCTGGTCGAATTGGAGCACGACTCTTTCGGTCGGCATGACCGCCGGGTCGATGCGCGAGAGGTGGTGCACCATGGATGCTTCCAGGCGTTCCCAGACACGCGCGGGTGCATCGACACGCGCCAGGGTGCGGATCAAAACGTCCAAGCGTCGGTCTACGAATCGGTCCATTCCAACACCGTTGCGCCTGCGTCCACCTGTGAGACAGACGCGCACGACGCTGTCCAGCACGACCTTGTCCCGAAAGAGAAACGCAAATCGACGTCGTGCTCGTCGATCTTCGTGCGAATTGCGCTCCTCGTAGTGCGTCAGGTTGATGTCGAGGATCGTAAAGGCGTCCTTCATAGTGCGCCATGGATTCTTGAATGCATACGTCCCTCCAACCGCCAGATGCTCCACTGCCTCACCAGACACGGGTGAGAGTGTCTCGGGATCGGTTCGCTGACTGTGAGCGATAGCATCCTCGCGCCATGCTCCAATCCACCTTCGCCACAGCCGAAGGATGGTGGTCGAGGGTTGCCAAGCATCGTCGCTCGACTTTGGCTTGAAGTTGGGCGGTCGCTGAACACCTGTCCACACCTCGTGAAAGTCGGTACTGCTACAGCCGAATGCGATGCGCAGTACGGCGAGCGCCTCATCCGCATCGGATGTGAAAGGCCGACGTCGCATCGCTGCCGAAAACAGCGCTACGACGGAGCTGCGTTGTTTGATGAGCAGATCCCTCGCGCTCGGTGTGGATGGCTGGAGCGGTTTGATCGCAAACAGCTCGCGGAGCAGTTCGTTTCCCGTCCTCATGTCGCCCAAAGCAGCCGCAAGACGCAGACGCAGGAAGAGCTCGGTGAGTCGCCATTCGTCGACATGCTTGCGGTCGTGCATGCCGACGATCCTCCTGGTGCGCGGACGCTTCCTCGTTTGAAGCTCGTGCATCAGCGTGCTTATGCGGCGAGGCGGCTGCAAACGCGAGCGTCCTTGTGTGCGGAGATGCGACATTGCATCGATCTCGGCCTGCACAATAGCACCAAACAGCCGAGGCGGAGTGGCCAATTCGGCGCCCGAATCTATGGAGCGCGCCGCAATGGCACGAACCACCTGCAACATGCCGGCTACCTGGTCGCGCGACAAGGACGCAACGCCGTGGGTGCGCAACGGCGCACTGAACGAGTGTACGATGGTGGCAAGAAACGTGTCGTCCATCGCAATGTCGCGCTCGTCCATCCGACGCTTGAGCACGAGCAGTTGCTGCTGCAGATACTCGAGGTTGTTCGCGATGCATTTGGGGTCTGCGTGATCCGACCGCGCCCACACCTTCTGACAGAGCGCGATGAACTTGAACTGAAACTTGCGAATGTCGGTGTCGAGGGCATGCTTCTGCAGCAGCTCGAAGCATTTCTGCGTGCGGTCAAAGTCGCCGAGTTCGGAAAAAGCGATCATGAGGCGTCGCAGGGTGCGCGAAAGATGGTCGCGGTCCGAGAGGCTGAGTTGGGCGTTGGCCGCGGGGGCAGACGCGAGGCGGTCGTCGATCATGCTGAGTAGCAGTTTGAGCGTCGTTCTGGCCGCTTCGGCGCGCGCATAGCCAGCGAGTTCGCACAGGAAGGCCGGAGAGAGGGAAGTGACATGAGCAGCTTGGACTATGGCCTGCAGCGTACGGATGACGGTCCAGCTCGCGGCTTGCACGTCGTGCTTGCCGCTGGCTTTGGTGATGCTGAATGCGGTGCTGAACAGACTGAGCACAAAGTGCTCGTTGCATGGAAGCTTGCACGACCACGATTCGTCCGGAGGCGTGCGCTTCTTGTGCAGACGTTTAGCATGGCGTCGTTCTTGCGCAAGAAGCGGATGTTTGTAGATCCGATCGGCTGCTCGATTGATGTCTTGCTCGTCCCGGGCGGCTTCGAGTGGGGCCATGGCGCTGGCCAAACCGATGGTGGAGGCTTCGGTGTCGAAGAACGAGCTGAAGTCGGTCTGGTCTGGAATGTCCGTTGCTGCCTCGAGCGACTGAGTTGACCGTGTCGTGATAGGGACAGTCTGAGGGGCCGTGTACTCTATGGAGAAGGGTCTGGCTGCAGACGTTGAGGCATATTGCCTGCGATGGCGGGCGGGGCCCTGCGACAGTGCCGGGGCGAGGAAGTCGGGCACACCTGCCGACAGCGCCGAGCTGGAGCCAACAAACGGCCTTGAGGCCAGTCTAGATCCAGACAGCTGCGTTTCAGCTGCTCCAAGGCGGCCAAGCGGCGACAGCGAGCTCTGCCATCGTCGAAACGCCATGGTCGCACTTGACCCCAATGCAGCTGCGAGCGCGGTGACTTGCCACCTTGGCACTTTCCGTATGGAGAGAGGATGCTATGTTTCCACCATCGATGGTTAAGAGCGGTGCAAAGATGAGTGGAGCAATTGGAGTGCGTTTGGAGCAGGCAAGAAGAGCCTGGAAGAGTGGGAGCGGCTCGAGTGAGTGCATGTGTGAGGCGTGGCCAGGCTCGGGACTCGGACTTCTGACCCGCCCAAGTCACGTGTGATGGCTCTGTGAGAGAGAGAGAGAGAGAGAGAGAGAGAGAGAGAGAGAGAGAGAGAGAGAGAGAGAGAGAGAGAGAGAGAGAGAGAGAGAGAGAGAGAGAGAGAGAGCAGAGGCCTTCGAAATTTCTTCGCTGCTGCGTCGCGCTGCTTTTTTTTTCGACTCTGCCAGATTTCGGCCAGGCCGAAAAAAATCCCCAAAGCTCAGCGGCGGCTGCACCCTGAAGTCACATTTTGCTGCCTCTTTCGGCTTCTCTTCTGCCATCACCCTATCAACAGGCCAATCCATCCACTCAGCCTTTTCTTCAGCATCAAGAAGCGAAGAGGCTCCTGGTCAACGGCTGCATGCCGCAGTAGCTTGAGCCTCGTCAATCTCCTACGCTCGATTCAGGGTCGGTCGTGGCTTTCCCTGCACAATGGCGTCCGCCTCCTCCTCTGCAGTCGCAGAGGGATCCACAAAGAGAAAGAAGGGCGGCTCCGCACCTCATCTCAAGTCACGTTCCAAGAACGCCCGTAAGCTCAAGAGGCAGGCCGAGGATGCAGAGATCACCCAGCTCGAGCAGGGCGCAACCTCGTTCGTCGAGCCGCCCAACTTCAAGCAATTCGCACAGTTGCCCCTCTCGGACCGCACACGCAGAGGCCTCAAGAAGGCAGGATACACAGACATGACCGACATCCAAGCCAAGTCGCTGCCGCTTTCGCTCAAAGGCAAGGACGTGCTCGGTGCGGCGCGCACGGGCTCGGGCAAGACGCTCGCATTCTTGATACCCGTCCTCGAGATTCTCTTTCGCAGAAAATGGGGTCCTTCTGACGGCCTGGGAGCCCTGGTCATCTCGCCGACGCGAGAGCTCGCCATCCAGATCTTCGAGGTCCTCCGCAAGATCGGACCCTACCACACCTTCTCGGCCGGTCTCGTCATCGGTGGCAAGGATGTCAAGCAGGAAAAGGACCGTCTTTCGCGCATGAACATCCTAGTCGCCACTCCCGGTCGCCTGTTGCAGCACATGGATCAGACGCTTGGATTCGACACCTCCAACCTCCAGATCCTCGTCCTCGACGAAGCCGATCGCATCCTCGACATGGGCTTCTCGCGCACCTTGAACGCCATCGTCGAGAACCTGCCGCGCGACCGCCAGACCATGCTCTTCTCGGCCACGCAGACCAAGCGCGTCAAGGACCTGGCGCGCCTCTCGCTTCAGAACCCCGAGTACGTCGCTGTCCGTGAGCCCGAAAACGAGGGATCCACGCCCAAGGGTCTCGAGCAGCACTACATGCTCATCGAGCTCGAAAAGAAGCTCGATCTGCTCTTCTCCTTCATCCGCACCCACACCAAGTGCAAGGCGCTCGTCTTTATGAGCTCGTGCCGCCAGGTGCAGTTCGTCCACGAGACCTTCTGCAAGCTGCGTCCCGGTATCAGCCTCATGGCGTTGCACGGCAAGCAGAAGCAGGCCAAGCGCCTGCAGATCTTTACGCAGTTCACCAAGACGCAGCATGCCATGCTCTTTGCCACCGACATTGCTGCGCGTGGTCTCGACTTCCCCGCCGTCGACTGGGTCATCCAGCTCGACGTGCCCGAAGACGTCGACACCTACATCCACCGCGTCGGTAGAACCGCCCGCTACACGGCCAAGGGCAACAGTCTGCTCTTTGTGCTTCCCAGCGAAGAGAAGGGCATGCTCGAGGCGCTCGCCACCAAAAACATCCCCATCGGTCGCATCAAGCCCAAGGAGAGCAAGACGCAGAGCATCCAGAACCAGCTGCAGGCCTTCGCCTTCCAAGAGCCGCAGATCAAGCATCTCGCACAGAAGGCGTTCGTCTCGTACGTGCGCTCGATCCACCTGCAGAAGAACAAGGACATCTTTGACGTCACGGCGCTTCCGCTCGAGCCGTTTGCTGCGGCGCTCGGTTTGCCCGGTGCACCCAAGGTCAAGTTCGTCAAGGAGGCCGCCAAGGCCAAGAAGGCGGCAGCGTACAAGGCGGCCCAATCGCAGGGCGATGCGCCAGGAGACGAGCAGGACAGCGACGAAGAGGCGGACAAGGCGACCAAGGTGCGCACCAAGTACGACCGCATGTTTGAGCGCAAGAACCAAGACATCCTCAGCGAGCACTACGCCAAGCTCATCGCCGACGACGACGACGATGACGACGATGACGATGCCTCGTCCACCGGCAAGCGTACGGGCGGCAGCGATGACGACTCGGACTCAGATGGGTCCTCCCAAAGCGACTCGGACGACGACGAGAAGGAGACCCGATACGGTCGAGCCGGTGCTGGGCGCAAGGAGGATCGCCTGGTGGGCAGCGATACATCGGACTCGGAAGAGGATGACTCGGACGACGAGGCGAGCGCAGTCGCAGCTGCATCCAAGTCGAAACGAGCCGGTCTTGCAGCTGCAGACGAGGACGACGACTTCCTCACGCTTAAGCGCGCCGACCATGCTCTGGAGGATGTGGGCGATGCGTACAACATTGGCGGCGACGACGAGGCGATCACGATGGAGCAGGCCAAGGCGGATGCCACCGAGAACCTGTCGAAGCGCAAGCTCGCCATGGGCCAGAGCAAGAAGGCGCTGGCGCTGGCGGGCAAGCGCGGCATGGGCGAGAAGCTCATCTTTGACGACGAGGGCGAGGCGCATGCGCTGTACGAGCTTCAGGACGAAGAGGCGTTCCGAAAGCAGGGCGATGCGCGGACGCAGGCGCAGCGGTGGGAAGAGGAGGAGCGCGAGCGCATGCAGCAGGCCGATCTCAAGGACAAGGCGCTCGCCAAGGAAAAGCGCCGAGAGAAGCGCCAACGCCAGAAGGAGCGCGAAAAGGCACAAGAGCGTGGCGAGGACTCGGACTCGGACGAAGACAACGACGAAGAAGAAGATTCGGACGACGGCCGAGGCGGCCGAGCAGTCCTGGCTCTGATCGACACTCGCTCCGACGGCTACGAGACGCCCGACTTTGAGCTCTCGTCTGAGGACGAGGCAAGCGATGACGACGACGACGATGACGATGATGAGCCAGAAGCGTACGAGGCGCAACCTGCATCCAAGCGCCGCAGGACTGGCGTGTCGTCGGAGCAGGCGAGCAAGCCTTCGTCCAAGAAGAGCAAGCTGGAGCAGGAAGAGGAGCTGGCGCTGCGCCTGCTCGCTGGTGGTGTTTAAGACGACCCACCGACACGCACACACACACACACGCACACACAAGCACTTTGGTAAGTCGACTCGAAGCGCTGGTCTCGCACCGGGGTGGTCTGCTTTCGCATGATGGTACTCGTGTAATTTGCGCCTGATGGTCGTTGGCGTCCCTCCGTCTACGGATGGCGGTACAACGGGGCACGCTAGCCGGCGAGCCCTGGCGTCTTCGGCTCGATGAAACTAACACCTCTGATACACACAGCAGACGACCCCTGCAACTGCCGAAGCCAGCGCAGACAGCTCGAGAATGAGAGGTGCGCTGACGCTAACTTGCCCCTTCTTCCGCCTCGTGTCCATCCACAGATCTCACTCGATCCGTTTCAGTGTCAGTTTTTGTATTTGTACCCTATCCATGCATTTCCATCCCGCATACCACACAAGCAGTGTCGTGACGAACGAAGCAGGCCGAGAAGTGCAGTCGACAGTGAGCATGGCCGATCGAGTTGATGGTGGATGTAGAGAGATCGGGGCGGCTCGGGGGGATGCAACTCGATCGGAAATCTGATCGCAGGTTGCAGGTGAGCGAGCTGGCAGGCGTGCGCGGGCAGCTGAGAAGGCCACGTCGAAGCGAAAAGCAATGCGAGGCAACCAACAGGGGCTGCTGAGTGCAAAGCGTTGATCGCCGCGTCTCCAATTTTTGATTTTTTTGGGCAATTTGTGAGATTTATTTTCGGCCGGCTGCAGAGTGAGCACAGCGAGTCGGCTGAGGTGACCGGCTGAGTCGGAAAGGCTGACTTTGAGCTCCACTTTCTGATCTCTCTGGTGGTGCTGCTGCGCTCGGAGCTGCGGCGCGCGCATTGGCACTTTTGGGCGCGGCATTCACACACCTCTCGCTCCCACGGCCACAGCTTCGTTCCTTTCATCACCCCCACCACCACCACCACCACCACTTCCAATCCCAACCCACTCACCCATCTTTGCTGCACTTGCTCTCAAGTGTCGCATCGATAGTCGCATAGTCCTGTGCACGGCACACACAGCCAACAGATTGCACCATCGCCAACTAAACCCGTCCATGGCTCAGGCTTACAGCGAACGGTCACCATCCCACTCGCTCGCTGGCTTGCATCGCTAACGTCCCTGCATCAGCTCCTCGGCTCTCTTCTTGCACAGGTCCCGCTCTGGCATTGTTCGATCTCACGCATCGCAGCATTTAGCTCGCCACCGTCACCATCACCACCACCAATATCACCATCTCCGTCGACCCAGCTCAAGTGGTTTGCATTTTCATGCCTCCAGCGTCGTCCTAGTCGCATCTGCCCCTTCTGATCGTATCCGGCGCCGCTATTGCGTAGGTCGTGTCCACTCTCCGACCCTCCCCAGCGTGCCGTGATCGTGCCCCCGCCCCTCGCACGTTTCGAGAAACACCAGTGCGTCTAGTCAGCACGCTTCCCTGGCAGGCAGTAGTCGGTTGCACCCCTCTTTCCTTGCTCACGCCGAGCTAAACTTATCGGCACTCTCCATGCCTGTCGATCAGAGCCCGGCAAAGCTAAGCTCCCCCTCCAGATCTCGCTCCTTGGCTCGCAATTCCACCGCCCCGACCATACCGAACCCACCCACGTCCTCAATCCCCGGAACCTCCCCCACGAAACCCTCGCCCGCCACCGCCACGCCGCGAAGAAGCTCCCGAATCTCAAGCGCTGCCAGGGCGGCTGACGAATCCTCCGACTCTCGAAGCGAGACCTCCTTCTCCTCCACCACTCTCGCCTCGGCGCCCGCCACCCCCGCCACCGCCGCCTCCGCCTCGGCCTCCAACCCTTCTCCCACAAGCCGCAAGTCCCGCGTCTCTGCTGGTCCATCGCCAGCATCGTCGTCTTCCACCTTGGTGAACACGCAACCCACCCCCTCTAGGGTCGGCACCTCCGTCTCCACTTCCGACCAATCCAACCCAGCACGCCAAGCAAAGGGCAAGGCAAAAGCAAAGTCAAAGGGCAAGGGCAAAGCAAAGGCATCCCCCCTTCCATCTACCTCCTCTGCCTCCAAGTCTCAGTCGGCATCCTCGTCGTCCACCTCGGCAAAAGGGTAAGTGTCCGCCTCTCCTCCCTTGTTCCAATCGTGGCTCTACCAACTAACGTCCTCCCTCTTTCCCTTTCACCTCACAGCAAGCGCAAAGCGGACAGCTCCTCCCAATCAGCTTCCAAAAAGCCTTCGCCCACCCAGTCCGCAGGCGGCTCCAGCAACAAGCGTCCCAAACTCGATCCGCAGTCCAACGCATCCACCAGCAAACAGGCCGACAGCGCTCCTCCCACCTCGTCTCGTACCCTTCGCTCTCGTGACAAGATGACTGGCGTCGACTCCGACGGCACAGACACCCGGGCTACCACCCGATCCAAGTCGAGCCAGGCCAAGTCCTCGTCCAAGTCCAAGCGCGCTCCCACCGGCGCATCCGCCAGACCCTCGGCAGACTTCGACTGCTCCGACTCAGCCGCTCAGCAAGACGCAGACGTCCACATGTCGGACCTCGCCGATCAGTGCGACGATCACCACGACGTTGAGATGTCCGGTCACGACCACGACGACGACGACGAAGACCTTGACGCATTTGGTCATCACGACGATGGCGACGACGACGACGACGACGAGGATGACGACGAGCACGACGACGAGGACCACGACGACGGCGACGGTCTCGGCATCGGCGGCGCATCGTCGCGTTCCAATGCTCTTGGAGGCTTCGAGGACGAGGACGACGAGGATGACGGCGAAGATGACGACGATGGCCACGGCGCCGGCGTCTTCGGCCTCAACCTCAGAGCCATGGCTGGCTACATGTCGGGCCTCTCCAACCGATTCCGCAGCCTCCTCGCTTCCCTTCGCAAGGAATCCGATCCGACCGCACAGATGGTCGCGCTCCAGGACCTCTCGGAGCTGCTCAGCGTCAGCACAGAAGACACGCTCGCTGGCTACTTCCCCACCGACGCCTTCGTCAAGGAGCTCGTCTACATCCTTGGCGGTCCCAAGCCCGAACGGCACGACCTCGGCTCCAAGTCCAAGATCCAGGCCGTCGACGACGAAGACGACGGTCTCGACGACGACATGAGGGCCGCCCTCGCCACCGCCGCTGCCGCCGACATGGAGGACAGCGGCGAAAAGATGCTCCTCGCCTGTCGTTGCCTCGCCAACCTCATCGAGGCCATGCCCTACGCCGCTCATGGCGTCGTCTCGCACGGTGCCATCCCCGTCCTCACGTCCAAGCTCATGGAGATCACCTTTATCGATCTCGCCGAACAGGTGCTTCAGACGCTCGAAAAGGTCTCGCAAGACTACCCGGGTGCCATTGTCAGGGAAGGTGGCCTCTCCGCCATCCTCCAGTACCTCGACTTTTTCAACATCCACATCCAGCGCACCGCCATGACCGCCGCCGCCAACTGCTGCCGCAAGCTCACCCCCGACTCGCTCGCCTCGGTTCGAGACGTCATGCCCATCGTCCAGAACGTGCTCACCTACAGCGATCAGCGCCTCGTAGAGTCGGCTTGCAAGTGCGTCGTGCGCGTCGTCGACAGCTACCGACTCCACCCCGAGCTGCTCGAGCAACTGCTCACCGGCGAGCTCCTGGCCGCGCTCAACAACCTGCTTCTGCCCGCCTCGTCGCCGTCCAGCTCCAACACCACGCTTGGCGCCAGCACCTACACCGACGTCCTCAAGGCGCTCGGCACCGCATGCCGAAGCAGTCCGCAGCTCGCCGTCGCCCTGCTCGAGAACAACATTGTCGAGACGCTCTACCACCTGCTGACTGGCTCGCCCGCTCCCGCCGATTCTGCGTCGGTCGCCGACAAGGCCGAAGCCACAAAGCCTCACGGCATCCAGCTCGAGTCCGAGCAAGCTTCAGGCCCCGGCAGTGCGGCTGAAACCGCGGCAGTCGCTGTCGTTCCGGACGACGACGCCGCAGGTGCCAACTCCACCGTGGCAGTCGCCGACATGGCTGTCCTGCAGAACCTAGCGCAGCGACCCAAGGAGCAGATCCAGGAGGCTCTCTCGTTGGTCGGAGAGCTGCTGCCGCCTCTGCCCAGGGACGGTGTCTTTGACCCTCGTGCCTACACCGAAAAGGCGTACCTCAAGCGGACTGCAAAGCAGGGCTCTTCCGCTGCGGAAACCGCCTCGGCTGCGTCTTCTCAGACGACCAAACAGGAGCAGGCGGTTGCCGAGTCGGTTGCCCCGCGTGCCACCGATGCAGAGTCTAGTGCTGCTCCTGCGCCCGTTCGTCCCTCGTCTTCGCGCTCGAGCTCGTCGCGAAGCAAGGCGCCTCGCACCAAGTCGGACAAGGAAGTGGCGCGCGATGCGGCACAGGCCAAGCGCGTCGAGATGCTGCATCGCCGCACCGCCCTCGTCAAGCGCTTCACCCACCTGGTCCTGCCCACTTTGGTCGAGGTCTACGCCGCCAGTGTCGCCCTCCACGTCCGCCACAAGGCCATCAACGGCATCCTCAAGATCATCAGCTTCGTCGACCCGGACTCGCTTGCCGAGGCGCTCGACAATGTGCCCCTCGCCAGCTTCCTGGCCGCCATCCTCTCGTCGCGCGAGCATCCCACGCTCGCCGTCGGTGCACTTCAGATCGTCGAGCTGCTCACCGAGAAGCTGCCGTCCCTCTACACGGCTCTGCTCCGTCGCGAGGGCGTCATGTGGGAGATTGACGACATTGCGTCGCAGACTCCCTCGTCTCGACCGTCGGACAAGGCCACCTCGGCCGCTGCAAGTGCATCCACGGACACCGCTTCCAGCACCGATCCTCTGACCTTGCCGCGTTCCGGAGCTTCGCAGTCCGAATCGGGCGTGGGCGGTGCCAACATGGGCCTGTCCTCCGGCTCGAGCCTTGCGAGGCTCCTCGCCGCCGCGGCCGGGTCCGGCGCGAGCAGCGCCCAGATGGAGGCGCTTGGCCTCCGCCCAGCCTCGTCGTCGTCCTCGCCTTCTGCCTTCAACGCCCAGAGCGCGGCCGAGGCGACGGATGCAAGTATCTGGCGCGCACGTGTGCTGCGCGACAAGTTTGCTGCAGAGGCCAACTCGTCGGGAGGCGCTCGCAGCGCGGCCCAGGCCCTCGACCACATCAAGGACCTGGTCAAGCGACTGTACGCCGCCGCCGCCGACGGCAAGGAATCAGACGCGATCGATGTGCTGCAGCAGGTGGGCTCGCTCTTTTCTCGGAACGACGATCCCATCTCGAGCTTCGAGCTGCTCCGCTCCGGCCTGGTCGAGGCGCTCTATTCCTTTGCTACGCAGAGCGACGGAGGCATCGCCCTCGACCGCAGGCGCTGGCTGCTCGTTCGTACCCTCATGCAGACCGACGACAAGTCGAACCAGAACGGTGCCACCGTATTGGTGCGCAGGCTGCAGGAGGCTTTGAGCCGCTTGGAGAACGTCGACATCACGACAGCACTCAGTGCCGGCGGCGACGACGCGCGCAAGAGCCCAAGTGCCATGCTCGGTCGTCAGCTTCGCCTGCGACTGCAGGCCGAGGACGCCACCGACATTCCGCGCAGCTGCAACAACATCATCGTCACCATTCATGCCGTCGCCACCTTCCAGTCCCTCAGCGACTACCTGCGACCCAAGATTGCAGTGTCGACCGCTGCCGCTGGCTCGGGTGCTGGAGCCGGCGGATCGGCTCCGTCGCGTCTCTCGTCGGTCCTGGCAGCCTTTGCGGCAGCTACCGGCTCCGGTGGATTCCCCGAGTTGGATAGCAGCAAGGAGGCCAAGGCGTCGAGCTCTACCAACAAGGCCGCCGATAAGGAGGCGAAAGCGGGTGAGGCCGCCGGCTCTGGAAGTGGCGCAGAAGGGTCTGCTGCAGCGGACAAGGCTGAGTCCAAGTCGAAAGAGGGTGCCGGCAGCAATGACGGCAAAGATGGCGAGGCCTCTGGCTCTGCCCAAGCTGGCAAAGACGGGGAATCGGAAGCCCGTGCCGAGGCACGTGCCCTGGCCCGCCACCTGTTTGGCGATGACGAGCCGCCCGCAGAGAGCGGCGAGGGCGCAAACAAAGCCGAAGGCCCGAGCGCTGCCGACGACGAGCTGCAGTCGGATGAGGCGCTTGCGCGCTCGCTCATGGAGGGTCTGCTCCACGGTGCCGACTTTGACGACGATGAGGGTTTCTCCGATGAAGAAGGCTTCGACGAGGAGATTTTGCAGGGAGAGATCCCGGTCGACGGCGACACGGGCGCAACTGCAACCGCCGGCGATAGCGCAGACGCTGCCGACAAGACGATCAACCTCGATGTCGAGAAGGAGGGCGGCCGGATCGTGGCCAAGACTCCGGAAGGCACGCGCATCGCCACGCCCAGCAACGGCGCAGGCACGCCCAAGCCGACCGAAGCGTCCTCTTCCAGCGGCGCCGCTGCAGCCAGCTCGTCCTCGACATCCAGCCCGTCGAAGCCGTCTTCGTACGCATCCGCCTTGCAGAAGAAGCCGACCGACTGGCACCTCGAGTTCTCGCTTGGGTCCGAGAGCCTCTCGCTCGACACCACGGTCTACGGTGCCGTCCACCGATACGAGACGGCCCAGACCCGTGATGCGAGCCAGAGCTCGGTTGGAACGGGCAGCTCGCTGGCCAGCGCCGGAGGCAAGCATATCTGGAGCAACGTCTACACGGTCCGCTTCAAGAAGGTGTCCGGAGCCGAAGAGCGCGCCAAGGCCGAGTCGACTCCGGAGCCGACTTTGGCGGAGAGCGCAGCGATCGAGCTGCCTTCCTCGATCAAGGAGGATGCACCGTATGCAAAGCTGCTCCAGCTGCTCGCTGTGCTGCACTCGCTCAACATGGAGTGGCGCGAAGCGGCGCGCGCAGGTGTTGCTGGCGGTGTGTCGGATGCAGGCGACGAGGTCCCCGCGACTTCGGCGCGAGCGCTGGCCGAGTCGGCATTCGTCAACAACAAGCTGACCGCCAAGCTCAACCGGCAACTCGAGGAGCCGCTCATTGTTGCCTCGGCATGCCTGCCGGCGTGGTCGACGGACCTGCCGCGACACTTTCCGTTCCTGTTCCCCTTCGAGGCGCGGTTCGCGTTCCTGCAGTCGACGTCGTTTGGATATGCGCGACTGCTGACGCGATGGCAGGCGCTGCACAGCCGCAACCAAGACGCCGGCAGCAGCGCCTCGCGCCTCGACGACTCGTTTGGCTTCCTGGGCCGGCTGCAGCGCCAGAAGGTGCGCATCTCGCGCGCCAACCTGCTGGCGTCGGCGTTCAAGGTGTTTGAGCTGTACGGCTCCAACTCGTCGGTGCTCGAGGTCGAGTACTTTGAAGAGGTGGGCACGGGACTCGGACCGACGCTCGAGTTCTACTCGCTCGTGTCCAAGGAGTTTGCACGCCGCGATCTGGAGCTGTGGCGCGACAGCCGCGCCGGCGGCACGGCCGAGGACGGCAGCGCCTATGTGTTCAGTCCGCAGGGCCTGTTCCCGGCGCCTCTGATCACGGCTCAAGGCGACGAAGGCAAGACGACGACGACGGCGACAGCGGCGACGACGGGCAGTGCAAACGGCGAGGGCGGATCCAGCTCGGTGTCGAAGCGGCTGCAGGCGTTCCGCATCCTGGGCCAATTTGTGGCCAAGGCGCTGCTGGACTCTCGCATCATCGACTGCAACTTTTCGGCGGTGTTCATGCGTGCGGCGCTGAACCAGCACGTGGCGCCGACGCTGGCGACTCTGTCGGCGGTGGATGCGACGCTGGCGCGCTCGCTGGCATCGCTGCGCGAGATGAAGCCGGACGAGGTGGAGGCGGTGGGCCTCGACTTTACGCTGCCCGGCTACGAGGCGATCGAGCTGCATCCGGGTGGACGCGACGAGTCGGTGACGGGCGCCAACGTGGAGCAGTACGTTTCGGAGGTGCTGGACATGACGCTGCAGCGTGGCATCCGACCGGCGGTGCGCGCGTTCCGTCAGGGCTTCAACCTCATCTTTCCGATCTCGGCCATGTCGAGCTTCACGGCGGACGAGCTGGTGATGCTGTTTGGCAACACCGACGAGGACTGGAGCGAGTCGACGCTGGTGGCGAGCATCAAGCCGGACCACGGCCTCAATGCGGATTCGGCGAGCTTCCGCGACATTGTGGCGATCATGGCGTCGTTTGGAGCGGACGAGCGGCGCGAGTTCCTGCAGTGGCTCACGGGCTCGCCCAAGCTGCCCATCGGTGGGTTTGCAGGTCTGCATCCGCAGCTGACGATCGTCAAGCGTCCGCACGAGGCGCCGCTCACGCCGGACGATTATCTGCCGAGCGTGATGACGTGCGTCAACTATCTCAAGATGCCCAGCTACTCGTCGCGCGACAAGATGCGCCAGCGCCTCCATACCGCCATGAAGGAGGGTTCCACCAGTTTCCACCTGTCGTAGTCTTGCTCTTTGCATCCAGTTTTCGAAGTTTCGGTTTTCAATGGTTTTCGAAGTCTTACAGTCAATGTAAGGCATGCATGTTTCTCACACGGGCTTGGTAGTGGTCAAGATGGTTTGTGGCTGCGGTTGGTGAGAGCGAGGTGGATGCGTTGTGTGAGGGCGGAGACGGACATGCTAAGTGGATTTTCCTTTTCCTTTGTGTTTTTTTTTCGGACTTTTTTTTTTTGGTGTGCACTTTCTCACTGAGCTGCGTGGCTGGGGCAGAGAACAAATTGATTCCAAATTTCGCTTTTTCTTTTCGGTCCTTTTTTGGCCAATTTTTTGGTTGGCTTGGTTCGACCCCACATCGCCGTGGCCGTCGATTCGATTACTGGCCCGCCCCCAGCCTGACTCTCACCAGAATCGCCGATGCACTTGGTGTGAACCTCGCTGAAGCATTCCCCTAGTCTTTTCAAGTCAGTAGTTGCGCTGCCGCTCAACGTGTGCTGCCACGCAACTCCTCCCCTTCTCTTTTTGTCTTTTTTTTTCCGGTTTTGCCGTTTTTTGCTCTTGGTTCTGGCCGACGTCGCTGTGTGCAGCCGACCTCTTCTGCTTTTCTCTCTTATCCATTTTCCACACTTTCTTTGGGGCTGCTTCCAACATCGCCGTCTGCTCTCGCATTGCTCTTTTTTTTACGCCGGTTTGCCAATTTTGTGTCCTTGGTTCGGTCTGAGAACGCCGTGTGCTGCCGCTTTTTCCACTGTGCTGGTTTCGAGCAGAGAAGTATTTAGTTGGATTTTGCTTTTCTTTTCTCTCTTTTTTTTGCGAATTTTGGTGGCTTGGTTCGTTGCGACATCGCGCTGTGCTACCGACCGAAAAAAAGAATCGTTATTTCGCTCGGACGAGCATGTCATTGGACCCTTTTGGGCTTTTTGAGCCGGCTGGGCGGGGCAAAGTCGAGAGAGAGAGAGAGCGGCTTCCGATTTGCGCCTTTGCAACCTCCACTTGGACCGCCCGTTCCTTTCCGTCCTACACCATCGTTCCTGACATCGTCGCGGACCCCCAACTCCCATGGATCACGGAGCACCTGGAATGCACACATCGAACCGCTAAGGGAACCCTATTCCTGATCCGCGCGCTCATAACCGCAACTGCTGGTCGATCGTCGAACCTGGCTCTCTTGGACCTCGACGATGCTGTCCTCTCGCGCCGCAGCGGGGGGCGACCCGACCGAAGTGTCCGAGACAGCACAGGCGCTTCTCAAGGCGCACTACGGTCGTCTGCGCACCGCCACCCACTCATCCGACCGCGCCGTATTGACAAAACTCGAGAGTGCCGCTGCGAACCTCGAGCGCATCTGCCTGCAGCTCGACAACATCCAGGTGGCGCACGAGCTGCGATCGGGCCAGTCATCCGCACACCAGGCCTCGCGCATCCTGCAGCCGCTGGGTGCACTTGCATTCTGGCCCGCACAGCTGCATCTCAAAGACGCAAGCGTCTTTGTCCGGCAGGATGTGGCGGGCCTGTCGATAGCCGACCAGCTTGCGCTCGAGGATGCTGCGTTGGCAACGCTCACCCAACCAGCCGGAAAAGAGCGCATCACCAGCTCGGTCAGGCTCAACGAGCCGAGCCGGACGATTGAAGTGACGTACGTCAAGACATCCATCAAGGACGCACAGAGCCACCTGCAGACCCGCAGGAGTCGCTTCCTCGAGCATGCTGCACAGCTGCGCGATCGCATCGCACCAGACAGCGGCACAAAGCAAGACCAGGCACTACCAAAGGACATCCACATGGTCAATGATGAGAACCAGGCGCTCAACGAGGAAGGCCTGCCGTTCTTTGAGCCGATCGAAAAGGTGACGGACGAAGAGGCAGCGCAAAGGAAGGAGGCGTATATGCAGCCGTTTGTGCGCGACAACGACGAGCGCGCCGCCGACAAGCACAAGCGCAGGCTCTGGCTAGAGCAGACGCTGAGCAAGCTCGAACAGGAAGAAGAGCAAGAGCAAGACGACGACGCCGATACTGATGCTGCTGTCGAGCCAAGTACCTCCGCCGCAGACTCAAGTGCGCCCGCCACACAGAAAGACGACGCAATCGACGCTGCGGAAGAGACACGCGTGGTGCTGCGCACTCGGACACCCAGTCCGCCTCCTTCGCCCGAAGACCAAGCCAACGCCAAGTCGCTTCCCGAGATCGTCTCGGCCGCGCGGCCGCCGCCTGCCAAGTCGGCGCTCAAGATGGGTCTGGCGCGGCCGCCGATCAACCAACGTCCGTCGTTCGGGGCTTCGGGCATCCGTCACGGCTTCCTCAACCTCAATCCGTCCAGTCCTGGCGCCATCAAGAGCTCGTACTCGTGGGAAGACCTCGAAAAGGAAGACGGCCAGGAACGGCCGTCGCGCAGCCACACACCCACTCCGCTCAGCCGCACCAGCAGCACGGCCGAAACGTCGCTGCTTGGGCGTGTGACCGATGCGGCATCCAGTCCGATGACGAGCGGCACGAGCACGCCCACCAAGAAGAGCGTGCGCATCAAGTCGCCCGAGCGCGCGCATCCCGAAGCTTCGGCGCGCTCGGGCCTGACGCCGCTCCAGCGCGCGCTGCGGTCCAGCATTCGGGTCAAGGAGAACTACGCAGACACCACTCCGGCGCCATCGGCAGCGGCGGATGCGGCGTCCGCACGTGCGGACTCGGGATCCGGCACCGCCGAGAAGCGCCATCGCGACGACGTGGGTGTCGAGGAGGAGGCGGAGCGCATCGTGGCGCTGCTCGGACCCGATGTGGTCGAGGGCCATCCGAGCGCCCCGCCCACGGACGTGCTGAGGCAGATGCAGCAGGCTCACGAGGAGGACCAACGCCTCTCGACGCCCGAGGCCGTCGCAGCGCGGCAGAAGCACGAGGAAGAACAGCGCGAAAAGGAGCGCATGCAGCGGCTGGCGGAAAAGCCTGCTCTCGGCCATGCGGTCATGGAGCGTCCCAAAGCCACGGCTGGCGCAGCCGAGGGCAAGAGCGCCGCGAATGGCGCCACCAAGTTCAGCGCGTTCAAGAAAGGCTTCCTCAGTCAGAAGCCCAAGTTTGTGCCGAATGCACCGGGGCCGAGAGTGCCGACGGCGCCGACCGAGTCGCTGGGCATGTCGGCGCTCGATCGCGCATCGATGGGCGACGACGAGCTGAGCGCGCGCAGGCAGGCCATGGGCTTGCCCGCCGCCGTGCCGCATGCAAGGCCGTCCAAGGCGTATGCGGAAAAGATGCGGCAGCGCCAGGAGGGACGCGTAGAGCAAGACGCATCCCGGCCGGGCGAGGGCGAGGGTGAGGGCAAGGTCGCACTCGCCAGGCCGGTGGATGGCGACGACGTGCCGCGTCCGGGTCGCGTCCGCTTCGGTCCTCCCGCCTCGCAACAGAATCACGACGAGCAAGACGCGGATGATGGATTGGTGGAGATCAACCCGGCCGCTCAGCTGGACAACCATCTTCCGGCCGAGGTCGACGATGGCCGCGAGCTGGACGAGGAGCAGGAGGAGCCCAAGATCGAGGGCGAGGGCGCGGACGCCGACTCGGAAGACGAGTACTTTGACTCGTACCTCTCGTCGCGCTCGCGACGCGCGGCAGCTGCCGACAGTCGGGGTATCGACGTCGATCATGACGGCAACGACGACGACGACGATGGCGACGACTTTGACGACGATGCAGAGGACTGGGACATGGACGATGACTTTGACGATGACGAGGACGAGTACGACTACGACGCCGACGATCTCATGGCGCTGGCGCCTTCGATGGGTGGCGACGCGGATGGGCTGGCGTCGCATCCGGATCTCATGAAGGAGTACGAGCAGGCGCGCGCCAAGCTCGCTGCCATGGGCCTGGCCATGCCTGGCTCGAGCGGTGCTGGCAGCAGCAGCGCTGCAGTGCTGCCGGCCGAGGAGTCGGACGACGACTATGAGGACGACGTGGTGCCGCTCGATGCCGCGATGGAAGATCCCGAGTACCAAGGCAACACCGTCAGCGACACCTCTGGCCGCTCGCGCATCTCGCGCTTCAAAGCGTCCCTTCAGCAACGCTCCTCTGCCGCTGGTTCATCCCAGAAGCTCGAGGACCTGCTGTCGTCCGCGCAGAACCTCGGCGACGGCCAAGCTGCCAATGGCGCGACCTCGGCGTCGGCTGCATTTGGCATGGACGGCTTCGATGGTCCTGCGGGGAAAGGGCCGGTGATGATCATCCCGCAGCTTGCGCCTGTACGCTTCCCCAAGGACGGCGATCTTGTGGAGGGCGGCGTGACGGGCCCGGTTGCGCTCGGCGGTGCGGACAGTGACGACGACGACGAAAAGGCCGAGATGGTGATGCGCAGCCGGCTCGAGCGGCGCGAGTGGAAGCAGAACAACCCCGAGCAGGCGCGGAGGGAGAAGGAGAGCCGCCACAACAGGGATATGGTCGAGCAGGGACTCGCACCACCCTCCGTTGCACCGCGTCGGCAAGCGGACAAGGCCGAGGAGCACGCAGGTGCGGGCGAGGGAGGAATGCAGACGGAAGAGCAGCAACAGCCAAAACCAAAGAAGGTGAGCAGGTTCAAGGCGGCTCGTCAGGCACAGTAGACGCAACGCAACAAAGTGGCATTGCACAGCGAGACCCATAGTAAAGAGTGGCACAAAGTGGCACAGAGTGTTCGAGATTGAGAGGAGCGAGGGCAAATGGTGTGGAGGCCGAGCGGTTGGATAGCCGGAAGTCGGAGGTGGAACGAGGCGGAAGCCGTGTGATTTTTTTTTTTTCTGTTTCTTAAACTTTTTTGTTCTGACTGAGCTTCGACACACAGGCCACTCGTCGTGATCTTCTTGACCATCACCAACGATCATTTCTTCACATACATCACCAATCATGAGCGGCATTGGTGCGGTGCCTGCGTCGCGCTTCACACGCCCGCTTCCACACACGCCGCTCAACCACTTTCTGCGCCAGACCAAAGCGCTGCTCGCCTCGGGCGCGCTCGACAACGAAGATGCCGTCTACGTCGTCACGCCACGCACGCCGAGCTTCGACCAGGCGGTAGCGGCGATCGCGTTCGCATTCCTACAGCAGCAGCTCGACCAGAGTGCGCACACGCAGCGCAGGTACGTGCCCGTCATCTCGGCCGCACGCAAGACGTGTCTCGACGAGGAGCTGCCCGAGTTGGCACTGGCACTGCAGGCGGCACTGGTGGCCGCGGAGAACGTCGTCTTCGAGGACGACGAGGAGTATAGGACGGTGAATGCGTATGCGTCCAAAAAGCGCGTGGTGCTCGTGGGCGGTGCGGCGGAGATCAAGGGCAAGGAGGCGTGGAACGAGTGGCTGGAGCTGCACGGCGCACAGCTGTTTGGCGTCATCGATACGGACAATACGCTGCCCACTGACATCCACGATGAACAGGGCGGCGTCAACGAGCGTCTCAACGTGGCGCTCTTCCCTCCACAAGCAGTGCGCGGTAGCGGAGAGGCAGAACCCAGTCTCGCATCGCTCGTGGCGCTGTGGGCAAAGCAACAGCTCGCCAATGCATCCCGCGCCGACGAGGAGGTGCTGACGCGCGAGCTCGCCGACCTGCTCCTGGCGGCAGTGCTGCTCGAGACCGACAACCTCGCCGAGAGCAAGACGAACTCGGCCGACCTCGGTGCCGTCGGCTGGCTCAACCCGCGCTCGTCGTTCCAGCTGCAGAACCAGGACGACGCCTCCGTGGCCACGGAAGACCAGGAGGAGTCGGAGCTCAATGACGATGAGGCCAACACGCCCAACTTTGACGCATACGTGCCGACGTTCCCGGACCTCGATGCGCTGTACCGCGCGCTGCGCGCCGCATCGCGCACGCCCGTCAAGCTCGCCGGCCTCGCACCCTCCGCTGCGGCTGCCGTGGACGACGGCGCGACGCCAGACCACTACGAGTGGAACCTCATCACCAACACGCTGGCGAACCTCGACGAGGCGCAAAAGGCCGCGGTGCCCAGCATGGTCCAGCAGACCATCAAGGGTGACTTTGCCGACGTGCTCACTTCGGCTGTGGGCAAGAAGCTGCTGCGACCCCTTGGCCACAAGCTCGGACAGGCGCTCAGCAGCGGTGCGGGCAGCCTGGACCTGGCGGCGCTGCAGAAGGATGTCGACCAGGCGGTCGGCGAGATGGTCTCGGCGGGCAAAGTTGGGTTCGAGGCTCTGTGCGTGGCGATCAGCGCGCTGCATGCGTTTGTGCAGATCAACTGGACGGGTCCCGAGCTGCCAGAATCGCTCGAGCCGCTGGCACTGCTGCGCTCGACGGCGCCCGACGCATTTCCGCCGCGCCCGCTCGATGCAGATGCGGAAGAAAAGGCCAACAAGGCCGCCGAGGGTCTGCTGCACCGTGCATCGCTCGAGGCACTTGCATTCAAGGGCGAGCCGGCGTACCACCTGTGCCGCGTGCCGGTGTTCCTCGTGCTGGCCAAGCTGCTGATCGAGGCGCTGTTCGTGTCGTCCGAGATGGAGACGGTGGCGTGGTGGAGGCTGCGCGCATACACCGTGCACAGCCATGTGCTCGACGAACCCGTGGCGTTTGGCAAGAAGGTGTTTGAGCCCGTCAACAAGCTGCGTGACGTGCTGGCTGCGCGTGCTGCCGCCACCAAGCCCGCGACGGGCGAGGACAAGAGCAAGTGGGCCGCGCTCGCGGCGAGGTTGATCCTCGAGCGCGGCGTGGCGCTGCAGAGGATCGGAAGCGACCGCGAGGCGGCCGAGACGTTCGTCGAGGCGGCGAGGCAGAACGGACTGGTGTACCGGATGTCCGGTGCGCTCGGCAAGAGGACCAAGTTCCAGAAGGAGGACAAGACGCAGCTCATCCTGCTCGCCAAGAGCGTCGTCGCCGACGGCGGCAAAGAGGACGAAGAGGCCGAAGGCGAGACATCCACCACCGACAGCCAGGAGGGGGAGAAGGAGGAGCCGCTGGAGACGGGATTTGCAGCCAAGGCGAATCCGGAAGACCAGGTGGCGGGCATGCCGTCGACATTTGCGCTCAACGACGACACGCTGCTGGAGCAGACCAAGTTCACCTCGACCACCGCCGATGCTGCCGGCACGGATGAGCTGGGCACTTTGGATCCGAACGCGCAGCCGGCGTTGGCGGTGCTGGATCAGTGTACGCTGTTGGCGCTGTGTCTCAACATCCGCAACACGCAGGCAGCGCACGGGCTGACGGCGAACCAGATGGGCATCTTCATCGCGCGCGTCGTGTCGCACGCGCGCAACTGGACGGTGCACACCATGTCGCTGCTGCTGCGTGCGCGGCTCGAGTCGACGCGCACGCGCACGGTGGAGCGATCCGTCCTCCAGCTGCAGGCGCTGATCGACCAGATGCCCACCAACGACTCGAGCCTGCAGGAGCGGCTGAAGTTCTTCCACGCGTTGGATTTGCCGCCCAAGTGGGAGATGCAGGCGGAGCTCGCACGGCGCTACGCTAGTATCGGCGTAACGCGCTCGGCGCTCGAGATCTTTGAGCGCGTCGAGATGTGGGAGGAGGTCGTGCAGTGTCTGGGCATGCTCGGGCGGCAGCAGGAGGGCGTCGAGGTCGTGCGGGCCCTGCTGGACGGGACCAAGGTCGAGGCGGATGTCGAGGTGTCCGCACGAAGACGCCAGGCAGTCGGGGCCAAGAGCGAGGCCCAGGCGGTCATGTTTACACGCCTCGACCGTGCGCGCGAGGCCAAGCTGTGGTGTCTGCTCGGCGACCTCGAACCGGACGCGGCGCTGGCGCACTACAGCCAAGCATGGCGCGTCTCGGCCTCCTCCTCTGCCCGAGCAGCACGCAGTCTGGCCGGCGTCCACTTTACGCAGCAGGACTTCGCACAGGCGGCCAAATGGCTCAAGCTCGCGCTCAAGATCAATCCGCTCTATACGCGGTCTTGGTTCATCCTCGGATGCTGCTACATGCGGCTGGAGAAGTGGAAGGAGGGTGCGCAGTGTTTCCGGCGCTGCACGGCGCTCGACGACGAGGATATGGAGAGCTGGAACAATCTTGCGAGCTGCTACCTGCGGATGGTGGAGGGTGCTGCGGCGGCGAGCGATGCTGTGGGCATCGAGCGCATGGGCATGCAGGGTGGGCTGCCGGACATTTTGGAGGCCGAGGAAGAGGCGGAGAGGGTGTGGGATGCGGGTGCGCACAGTGACGACGACGAGGGGCTGAGCGAGTGGAGCGGCAGCTCGCGCTCGGACTCGGGCGTCGAGGTGTCGAGCGAGTCCGAGGCCGAGTCCGAAGCCGGCACCGAGACGGGGCTTCGCGATCCGGGCGAACCGGGCGCAGCGAGGGGACGACGTGCGAATGCAACCACGGCATACTCGCTCAAGCTGCTGGCGCACCGGTCGCTGCAGCAGTCGCTGCGGTTCGCGCACGACAACTGGCGCGTGTGGTTCAACTACATGATCGTGTGCATCGACGTGGGATACCTGCTGGAAGCGACGCGCGCGATGCAGCGCGTGGTCGAGATCCAAACGCGCAGCAAGACGAGCGACTCGGACCGCGCCAAGACCGTCGACCTTGCTGTTCTGTCGCGGCTGGTGGATGCCGTCACGCGCACGCCCAAGTCCGAGCTGGAAGCCGAAGTGGTTGCGGCGACGGAGGTGTACGAAGCCGCCATTGGGCAGTACCGTGCCGAATCGGGGGTTGCAGCACCGGTGCAGCCGAAGCTGGATGTGAATTCAGGCTTGGGGCTGTACCCGCCTGTGCGGCGCTTGTTTGACGAGACGCTGCTGGCGACGATTTCGACGAGTGCGGGCATCTGGAAGCTGTATGCTCGGCTGCTTACGTGGAACGGCGAACGCACGCGTGCGGTCCAACACGCGCTGCTCAACTCGTACACTGCCGCTTTCGACCAAGCCGTAGCGGGGGATTTGGCATCGGACAAGCAGACGTTCGTCAGTGTGCTGCACGACCTGCGCAACTTGGTGGACGCACTGCTGGAGCTGGCGGACAACGAGACGGGCGATCCGGATGCACCCAAGCCAAGGTTCCAGGCACGCAGTCTGGTCCGGACGTTCCTCGCCAAGACGCGCGATGCGTGGGACGCCGAACCCGAGTACGACGAGGCCAAACAGCTGCTGGAGGAGCTCAAGAGCTGAGAGTCCACAGCGCCGAGAATGGATAAGTGAAATGTGCATGACCAAAAGCATCTACATGAAGTACGTGTGTGGGGGTGGGGGTTAGAGGAGGAAGCAGATGCTGCTGAGCAGGACCACGCCGAGTGCGGCGGTGGGGACAATAAAGTGCGACTGCATAGGCGCGGCTGCAACACCCGCATTGGGTGTGCTTGAAGTAGTGGTCGTCGGCACCACGCTCGAGGTGGATGCGGAGGTGGATGATGTAGCCGACGATGTAGCCGACGAGGTGGAGGAGGAGGATGTTGCCGAGGATGTAGAGGATGAGGTGGATGAGGTGGCGGTGTTGACCGAGCTGATGGAGAACGAGATGAGCGTGCCAAGCGTTGCTGCTGCGTCGGTGGTTCGGGACGAAGAGGAGGTGGTGGAGGAAGCCGAGGTGGAGCGCGAGGCGGCTGTGCTGGCTGAAGTCGAGGGCGATGAAGACGACTGGGCCGAAACAAGTGCAAGCAGCAGCGCCATACACAGCAGTGCAGACGAACGAACGAGAATGCGAACCATGGCCGAGATCGATGCAGAGGTATGAAGGTGGGTCGAGGATGGATGCGAACATCGCACCGAAGCCAGGGACGCAGTCTTGGCTGCTTTTTTGGCCCGGCTTCGACACGCCGGAAGAAGACGTCACCGTGCGGGCCATTTTTTGGGTAATGTGCAGTCCGTCGACCTCACATTTGTGGAAAGATTGTGCCGCGCGAGAAACGACGGCGACTTGACCGATGCCGACCCTTTGCGCCGTGCCGAGAAAAGGTACAGCCGAGCCAGGAAGGCAAGCAAGACGTCGCGTCGCCTGATTGGATTGGATTTTCGTGATTGGAGCTGCGACACTTTGCGTGCTTCTTGGCAGAGCGCAGCAGCAGCGCAGCAGCAGCGCCGCGCCAACTCAAAACGACGGCGCAGCGCAGATCAGCCTTTAACCCTTTAGGGCGCTGATCTTCTCGCTCGCTCGTCTGCGCTGCGCTGCGCCCGGACCGCCGTCTAAAACCTCCCTTTTATTCCTCGACCACCCCCGCACTAAAGCTCACCTTTTCCATACGCTCGGTCGGGCTCGGTGCAAAGTCAAGTCGCTCTGCAAGCCTTTCTTTCATTCCCACCCAACACGCGCGGCCTTCATTTCCACCCCCCATCCACGTCACGACCAGCCAACACCCACACGCGCCCCCACTCGCCCACGCCATCATCAGCCTCGTGCGCGCGCGAGCAGCTTCTTCCCTCCTTTCGTCTCGCTTCATCCCCTATACATCTTCGACAAGCGGCCATGGACTCGGCCAAGATCTTCGCGCTCGGCCTCGCCGCCGGCCTGGCGATCCACGTGTTTGTACGCAACGGTGCGCGCAAGGACGCCAAGCACGCACAGCAAGCTGCGGCCCCACCATCGGGATCCATAGCGTCCAAGTCGGCCAAGAAGAACAAGAGCAAGAAGAACAAGAACAAGGACAGCCCCACGCCTCAGCAATCCGAGCCGGTCGCTGCGCCCGCACCCGCGCCTGCGCCAGAGCCCGCTGCCAAGCCGGCCGAGTCCGCGCCCGCCGCAACCACATCCAAAAAGAACAAGAAGAACAAGAAGCAGCAGCAGCAGCAGCAGCCGAACACACAACCAGCCGCACCCGCCGAGAGCTATGCCGAGGTGGCTGCAGCCGACGACACAGTGCCTGCCACGAACGCCATCACCAACGACGCCGTGCGCGCCAGGTCGGATGCGGCGCAGGCGGCGTTGGTAGCTTCGCTCGGCGACATGCGCGATGCGGACGTGGACGAGCTTCCTGCCGGCTACTCGTCAGTCGCGCGCATGCCCGCTTCCGAGCCCGCCGCCACGCACCGCATCTCGCGCAAGGACCACGACGACGGCTGGTCGTCCGTGGGCGGCACCTTCCCCTCGTCCTCCAAAGCCTCTGCGTCATCTCTCAAGCCCAATGGCACCGCCACACACACGTCGTTCGCATCCACCAACCCCTTCGCTGCGCTGCCAGACGACGCCCCCACAGCCAGCGTCAAGCGTCTCTCCTCCAAGCCCTCCCCTCCCTCGGGTGGTGGATGGACTGTTGCCGCTCCTGGTCCGGTCAAGTCGCGTCCCAACGGCACCGCGAGCGTGGTCGGCGCAGGTGAGACCAAGAAACAGCGTTCGAACGCCAACAAGGCTGCGGCCAAGAAGGCGGCCAAGGAGGATGCGGAGCGGCTGCAGGCCGAGCGGCTCGCCAACCATCGTCGACAGCAGGCGCTCGAGGCTGCACAGCAGCGAGAGGCGGCTCGTCGACCTGCTCCGCACTCGGTGAGCGCAAAGACGCCCACGGCCAAGGCGAGCGTCGACCTCAACGGCCGTCTGGTCTGGGACTGACACGCGCACACGGCATGAGCAAATGCAGTTCTATTCGTAAAGCACAGGTGCGACAGTGGGCTAGGGGGGGCAGCTGACGAGCAGTTGGTGGATGGCAAACACCTCGTGCACGCGTGAGGTGCGCAGGAGCGCGAGTGCCGAATCGAGGTGATCTAGATCCACGTGTCCCGCAAAGTGTCGCTGCGTTGTAAGCGAGATACCTTGGTTGAGAGCCTGTTGTTGCAGTGCGGGGACGAACCAGCTGGGAGTGTAGATGGCGGTGAGTCCACAATCTTGCATGGCTATTTGGAGCAGATGTTGTGGCGAGGTGGATGAGTCGAATCCCCGAACGTCCTTGTGGGGGGTGAGGTGGGTGGGGACGGGAAAAGTGCGATACACCACATGCGTCTGGAGGGTCGTATCCTTGTCGATGGCAAACAGTGCAGGCAGGAGGGCGGCTTGGTGGAGGAAGGAGAAGAGGACCATCTGGAGCAGGTGTTGTGCGATATGGAGTGCCACCAGCCATCGTACGAGGCGCGGACGCGTGCGGAAGAAGCGCGATCCTAGCGCATGCGCCATAACCACCGCCGAGGGGAACGCGAGCGCAAGTAGAAATCGCGGCTCCTGGTGCGGCGATACACTCAGCATGCACAGCGCAACCACCACGATGCACAGCGATAGCCCCACCGCCGCCTCCCCATCCTGCGTCGAGGTGCGTGCCTCGGGTCCACGTCTTGCGAGCCAGGCGCGAAAGGTGTTGGCGGCGTGAATGAGCAGCACAGCGACGTTGGCGATGCCGACCATGATGGGCAGGTTGACGCAGAGGTGCAGCCAGCGAGGATGCAGACCGTGCTGCGCCACATTGTCGGTGCGCGCATTGTACGCCAGTGCGTTGAGCGGCGCCACGACCGCCTCCATTCCACGCCATCGTACGCTCGCCACCTCAGCAGCCCCTGACTGGGTGTAGAACTGCGTGTCGATGCCGAGGTAGACCGCTGTTGTTGCCGCCCCACTCCCGGCTGCCACCGCCAACCACACCGCCACCTTGCCCGCATGGCCCTTGCGAGCCAGTTCAACCAACCGCGCCAGGTAGAGGGCGAGGACGGGCGCTGCAAAGGCGACGTATGTGAAGCGGGTGAATACGCCCACTGCCGTCATGACCGGCAGCACGGGCACTGTCCACTTCCACGCGCCTCCTCGATACCACGCATCATCGCGCACGAACGCCAGCACGTACACGAAGCTGAGCGCGAGCAGCACTGCCTCGGTCGAGTTGCTGAACGGCCTCACCATAAACGTTGTAGCAGCGCTCGAGACGCCGTAGAGACACAGCAGCCTTTGCGCCAGTCGTGGCTCTACCGTCACCACCACCGCCGCATCCACCACGAGCGTCCATATCACCATCGCGGCGCGCTGCGCCACAAACCTCGCCCACCCTCCCTGGCCGGTCAAGAGCGACAGCGCGGGCACTGCAGCGAGCTGCGTGCGAAGCGCAGCGGGGGAGCGTAGCGCATGCCGAGGCTGCCATTCCCACGGCAGCGACGCTGCGTCAAAGTACGCTTCGCCCGACTGCATCCATTCGTCCGGGTGGATGTAGGCGTATCCACAGAAGGCGCTGATGCAGCGCAGCACCACCAGCGCCCAGTAGAGCAGTCCGAGCCGGCTGCGTGCGTCGATCGCCCGGAGTGCGCCCATCGTCATCGCGCCACCATGCCGGTCGTAGATGGTGGCCAAGGCGTTCGGAAATTCCAAAATGCAGCGCCGAGAAGGTGTTGGTTGCAGCGCCAAAGAAGGCGCGTGGGGACGCAGCCGCCAATTCAATTTACGCGTCGACGCGCTGCTGCGCCCCCGACTCAGCCCCAACTCTCCACCCGCGTCTGTTGCTCTTCCCACTTCCATCCTTCTGCACTGCACAACCATGGACGAGCAAGATCCCGGCCTGCACTTCTTTCCTGACGGCAATGTCGACCTGTACGGCACGCTCGGCGTCGACAAAGACGCCACACAGGAACAAATCAAAAAGGCCTACAAAAAGTACGTCCCCCCCCCCCCCCCCCCTCCATCCTCCCTTACTCCATCTCATCTCCTCGCTGACCGGTTTTCTTTCGCTTTGGCTGTGGTGCTTAGGCTGGCGCTGAAGTTTCATCCGGACAAGGTGCTCTCGTCGGCGTCGTCGGGCGGCGCCGAGGATGCGATCCAGCAGTTCCAAAAGATCGGCTTCGCATACGCCGTGCTCTCGGACGAGGTGCGTCGGCGCAAGTTCGACAACACCGGCTCCACCGCCGAGCTCATGTTTGGCGAGGGCGATGCGGATTTCGACTGGAACGACTACTTCAAGCAGCTCTGGACCGGCGAAGTGTCGCGCCAGACGCTCGACGACTTTAAGCGCAAGTACCAGAACTCGTCCGACGAGAAGGACGACATCCTCGAAGCGTACAACGACACCAACGGCGATCTGGCGGGTATCTTTGACCACGTCCCCTGCTGCGAGTTTGTTGCGGACGAGGCGCGCTTCGTCGCGCTCATTGACGATGCGATTGCCGCCGGCGAGCTTCAGGCGACGCCCGCGTGGAAGCGCAGCAAGAGCGCCGAAGGCCGCAAGGCGCTGCGTGCCAAGGCGCAGGGCGAGGCGGCCGAGGCCGAGAAGCTCGCCCGGGAACTCGGCGTGTGGGACGACCTTTTTGGCGACGCCAAGGCCAAGGCCAAACCCACCAAAGCAGCCGGCAAGGACACCAAGACCAAAGCGGCGCGTGGAAAGGCCAAGTCGAGCAACGACGACGACGACGACCTCGGCGGCCTTGCAGCGCTGATCCAGCGCAAGAATCAGAACCGCGCGTCCAAGTTTGACGACATGATCGCCAAGCTCGAGGCCAAGGCGGGCGTCAAGGAGAAGCGTCCCACCGACGAAGAGTTTGACCGCATCCAGGCCGACATGCTCGCGCGCAAGAACGGCGGCGCAGCTGCCAACAAGGAGAACAAGAAGCGCACCGCAGCATCGTCAGCGTCGACAGCAGCGTCGAAGAAGAAGGCCAAGAAGTGACGTGGGTCTGGCTTGGCCTGGCCTGGCCTCGCAATGCCATTGTATTTGTAACCTGTTGCTTCTGTATGCGCTTCAGCCAGAGTGTAGCTGCTTACGACGAAGATGGCGAGGTGCAAGACCCTTGATCCTAAATTGTTAGATCTGATCATTTGGCTGAGGCTGATTACGTGTGAATGCGGTAAGCTTTGGGGCAGGACCGCACGTGACGCGCCTTTGTGAGCTGGTGGGAAGAAGCGGATTTTTTCCCAGCCAATCCTTTGGGCAGGCGGCGGCTCTGGCACTGGGACTGTCAAGCAGCGAAGCGATCACATCATCCCGACCTTCACCCTTCACCTCGTCTCCACCGCAGCGAAACCACACTACGATCATGGTTGGCGCTGCATTTGGGCGCGCCACGCTGCAGGCTGTGGCGCGCGCCACTACGGCGTCCAGCTCGTCGCTCGGATTGTCGCCGTCATCGTCGTCGCGCATCACAGCGGCGCTGCAGGCGTCGGCACGCAGCTCTTCGCTTGGCCAAAGATACCTACACGCAGTGTCGTCCACGACGCAGGTAGCCACTACGCCGCCCGTGGCGGTCAAGATCACTTCGACTCCGGCGCAGCGCACGCGCAAGGAGCGTCGTACAGCGATGAAGGAGCAGCGCAAGGCGGCGAAGCGCAAGATCGCCGAGTCGAGCGTGTCGGCGCGGCTGGGCGTGTCGACGACGACGACGACGCCGTTCGTGCGCAAGGACCGACAGTTCAAGACGTTCAAGCCCATCACGCGCTCCATTCGCTGGTTGAGGCAGCCGCTCAACGAGCATCTGCACTCGGGCAAGCCCGAGCGCTCGCTCACCATCGCCAAGCGCTCCACCGCCGGTCGCAACCACCACGGCCACGTCACCGTGCGCGGTCGCGGCGGCGGTCACAAGCGCCGCATCCGCCTCGTCGACTTTTACCGCTGGGAGAGCGGCGAACAGCACGTACTGCGCATCGAGTACGATCCCGGCCGCAGCGCGCACATTGCGCTGATCGAGCATAAGCAGTCCAAGCGCAAGAGCTATATCCTCGCTCCGGATGGGCTGCGTGCGGGTGATACCGTGCAGAGCTACCGTCTGAGTGGCGCAAACGAGGCCATCTCGCGCGCCGCCAATATCACCGACGAAGAGGTGTCGGCGGATGGCACGCTGCTGTCCACCGAAGCGCTCTCCACCGACCCGGCTGCGCCACAGACGGCTGTGGAGCCATCGGCAGCATCCACCGATTCGGGCGCGGGCACAAGTTCGTCGCTCGACCTCGGAATTTTCCGCACGCAGGCGATTCGACCGGGCAACTTCCTCCCGCTCCACCTCATCCCCATCGGCACCACCATCCACTCGATCACGATGCACCCGCGGGGCCCTGCCAAGATGGTTCGTTCCGCGGGAACGTTCGGCCAACTCGTTGCGTTCTCTGCACGCAGCGGTGCGGGCGAGTCGCATGCGCAGGTTCGACTGCAGAGTGGCGAGGTGCGACTGATCCCTTCGCGGTGCTGTGCGGCGATTGGCACGGTGAGCAACAAGGATCACCAGCACCGAAGGCTGGGTAAGGCAGGTAGGAGCAGGTGGCTGGGTCGACGACCCAAGGTGCGCGGTGTGGCGATGAACGCCTGCGACCACCCACACGGCGGTGGACGTGGTAAGAGCAAGAGTAACATGCATCCTCGCTCTATTTATGGCCATCTCACCAAGGGTGCGCGTACGCGCAAGCCGGGCACGCGCAGCGGCAACCAGATGGTGGTGCGCGAGCGTCCGCGCAGGAACGGAAAGCGTCTCGGCAAGCCCTAACCAGCCCGAGCCACAGCCCAGTGCAATACGATCCCAGTGTGATTTTTTTCTCTCTACGAAAGTGTTTGCGGGAGAGTCTGGATGAGGATGGGGGATGGAAAGATGAGATCGGGGAGGTG